TCCAGTCAGCCGAAGGCGTTGCAGCTTAAAAAATTTCGAATCATCATACTTAACTCTGAAAAACGAAAATACACTTTTCACTGTGCGGTATACTTGTTTTTGTCTGTCTTATTAATTTTTTGAAGTTTCAGATTTTACTTTTATTAAAGGAGAATGGAAAAATCTGTTTGAACAACGAAGGTATCGCGACCTTTTTTTTAAAGTGCTCCAAAAAGAGCGCATCTTCAAGAGTTGCCAAATGGTCAGAGCACTTGACCCAAAGGTGTTTAAACTAACTCCAGGTTGTTAGTTCAAACTTTTCAGTGGTGACAAATGTTTTTTGTATAAAGGTTCCTTAGTGGTCACTTGCTGACCTTGTTTAAAGGTACATGGAGACATACAATGCTGTGTGAATCTTGAAACTAGTATGTATAATACAAATCTGCTCAGAGATAAGGCCTGTTTTTACTTGTAGGCGTTATTTACCCTCGCATCCAGAAAATACAGATTCATATATATGGGGCGGGATCTGACCCCGCTTATTAGGAATACATTGGGCCAGTTGAAACATTCTATTAAAAAATTGTTCCCCACGGGAATCAATTTCGGGTCTTCTTCGTACGGCGGCGAAGCACCTAACCGCTACACCACACACGCCATGGATTAGATATAATGTAAGATTCAAATTAAATCATCAGTACATTATACTCGTTATGAAACATGATGAACAACCATCATATCATGCTTTATAGAGCATAATGAGCTATCACACAACGTTGGTGTTTTATGAAGCCTACTGAGCAACTACCACAACTTGTTGTGTGAAGCGTATTGAAAAACCACCATAATCATTATACATCTGGGGTTCTTTTGCTGGTTGGGGGGGGGGGGTTATTGTATCTTGTGTAAAGGGGGGGGGGGGTGGGCAGATCTGCAAGGGCTATCACTTGAGCTAAGGAAAAATTGAAAATCTGAGAACAAGACTGTGCCTAAGTCCAACATGGCAAAAAAATACGTTCTCGGTATCTATATTTAATTTATAGAGAAGACTTGCGCGCTTTTAATGAGAGTGCACATGACACTCTGCTGTTAATGGTGAAGTAGAAAAAGGGAAAACATGCAGCGCGTCCCAAAGTAAATAGTGCATTATAGACCCACGTCCATATTTTTTGCTGTTTTTCTCCTTTCAGAAAGAAAAAAATAACTTAGGTACAATCTAGTTTTCAGGATTTCAATTTTGCTTGACTATTGTTTAGTCTGGCTGCATAT